GAAAGAAATATTTTCCATATTTATTTATTAATAGCTCATGAAAAATGGCAGTCAGATTTTCTGCTGTTGGATTCAATGATCATGCTGATGTCATGATAATGTCAAATAAGCCCCATATCATGGAGACAAACCCTCTGCACATGTTTCCATTCTTAAAGCAAAAGCACACTAACCATCAGCTTGCTGTGGGCTTGCCTGGTTATCTTACCCTTTCCTTCAAGTATAACTAAGATGAAGTAGAAATGGAATTAACTTTGTAAATCACCAACTGACCAAAGGGATAGGAGGTAACAGAGCAAGAAATTAATTTTGCCTTTCTCCACTCTCTTCCATCAGCTATTTATTTAGAAGTCTTCCAGATGACCTTTGGAAGCATAGACATTTTAAGGACAACTGGAACTCCTACATACAAGAATCAGTCAGAAGACTAATCGGTATGCAAGAGCAATACTACCCCTCAGAAAGATGTGGGTTTGCTGCATGGGAAATGTAAAATAACTTCATAATCGACATTTTATGTAGTCAAAGACAAAACTAAGTCCATGTGGCATATTTTTATATTGCATTGTTCATTATTAAGAATTGTGATTTGTGTACAAGAGAATATGCTTCAGAAAGGTACTGAGAATTGAATAGAATATAAATTGGTTTAACTAACTAAATACACTGTTACATTCACTAAGCCTTCTAACTAATATTGGATAATAAATAGACATATTCATCTATTTTTCTCACATTCTAGTTGCTGAAGATAAACAAAGGAAAAAACCTCAAAACAAAATAAAATAACCTGCTTAGATGTTAACAGCTTGAACCATAAGCTTATAAACTGACCTGTTTTTAAGAAAATCATTGTTAGCTGCATATTTTTATGGTAATTGTACATAACCAGTTTATGAATAACAACAGCAGAGTTTTTCCCTTCTGATTTCAGTGCCACTTGAGTTATGCAGATTTCAAAAAGCTTATGAATATACAGATAAACAGAATTGTTCTGAACATCTGGAAGCAAAATATGAAAAGCTGTTTCAGACTGAATGAACATCCTGGGTTGTCTAATGCTGGCCAAAACTGGTTTATTTATGTATTAGGCTAATGCTCTGAAAATAGTTCAAAATCCTTCACACACTCCAGAATGCCTTTTCTGATTTTTATCTGTATTGTTGTCACCATAAAATGTAAAAATAATTTTACAGCACTCTACTCATAAGCTTCAAAGTAACTCAAGTTACCTTTTAGACATCAATTTATCAAGACAATAGCAGATCAACTGGTAGGAAAATCTTTAAATGGCCTGTCCCACAACTATACAGGGTAACACTAACCTGACCCTTTCAAGCAGAATCATGAGTTTCCTACCTCCCCAATGGAGAGGTGAATCATGCAGTTCTTCAAGGCTTATGAGGTTGGAGGTTTGCCCTTATAGGCTTAAGTTTCCAGGGGGAACCAACCAGTGTTGTAACAGTACAGCCATCACCTGGGTGATGTAGGAGAAATGGTGTCCACTAACACAGCTTAATAGCAGGTCTGCAGACCACTTCTGCTTCCCAGTGAAGTCTAACAAATAAAGATCATAGCAGAATACTGGAACACCACCAGTGTGGAAAACAGACCTGTATTCCCTTGAGGCAACACAACACTTTCCTACTAGAAAACCTACTAAGAGCATGAAGAGAAGAAAGAAACATAATTTTCTTGTTTTCTGCAGAAGGTACTCAGGACTAACAGGTTTAGTATAAAGAGTGAAGCTGACAATGTGCTTTTAGAAGAAGTGATAAATGTTGAATCCAAGGAACTGTTGCTTTTTTTTTCTTCAGAGTAGAATGCCAGAAAGGTGTTGGACTAAAATAACTTTCCCACGTGAATTTTCACAACTGCATGGGCTGAAAGCAAAGCTCAAACACTTGCCAAGTAGATACTGCTCTGAAGTCCTTCCTAGATTTAGAGGACATGTCTGTTAAATGTTTACCATAGATATAATCTTGCCAGAACAGATGAATAAGAAAGTTGCAACCGCAGTGCGTAACTGAAGTTTACTATTTCATATGAACTGTTCTTCTCAGTGAAAACTATGGCAGCTAGAAGCAGTCAGATGGCAATGTCTTAGGGGACCTTGTGAGATCTCTCTTTAAAGAGACATCCAAAAAATATGTTCAAAGATGAAAAAAAAAAAAAAGAAAGAAAAAAAAAACCAACAAACCTAACCCAAAACAGAATAAAATTAGAAAAAAATAGGGCTAGAGGAAGCCAAGTAGGAAAAAAATAGCATGCTGAAATCAGTAAATTCTGCAAATCAGCTCAGCTGCACAACCAGGAAGAGAAATGTGTGGCATACACACATCCCATTTATGTTCAGGCAAGGCTACAAAATATGTGCTTATGTTTCTGGATATCTCTGAGTGAAAAATCCTCTAGTGTCCTGCATCTGGAGGAATACAAACATCCATAATGCAAATGTGTGTAAAAACAAGCACTAGAAAAATAACCTCAGTTGTGTTATTGCACTACAAATCTAACTAAAACAACTATCTAAAAATAGGCTTCAAAGATTTTTCCTATTCCTTTATTCCAGGATTCTTATTATTTAATTAACATTTAAATTTTTGTTCACTATTGAAAAATGCAATACTTAAAGCAGCTGTAAAAAGCTTTCAAGGTATCTCAGTCAAACACAAAGCTCAGTGCTATGGACCTATTCTGAAATAGAAAATTAGCCTATACTGCATAGAACTGAAAGAAATGGTATCTTTTTTCTACATCCCTGGATACACCATCTTGTTCAGTGTTCACGTCTCCCCTTGGCCAACCGCCAGCACTTCTTATCTTTGGAGAAACACTCCACAGCCCATCACACTCACCCTCAGTGTGCTGGAACTGTGAATTCATTGGGAAAGCGAAATTGTGCTGCATATCCCTATTCTATAAAAATCACCTAATTATTTAATACCCAGGCCATTAAACAGAGTGGACAATAATTACCAAATAGGCCTTGACCATATATGCTTACAAAAATTACAGATAGTGCAGGCAAATGATGAAAGTACAAAATAGAAGACTGCAGAAGTATTAGGAAGTAATGGATCATTTGGACAAATAAGACATACCACTAGTCCTTCCATAAATGACACTTCTTACTGACATGTTTTGCAGGATTTCTGGTTATCTACTTATTAGTTAATTCTAATGCAAGGTGTCCTTTTCTTTTTTTGTTCTAGATATTTTTAAATTTCTATATATTAAGCATTTGAACTCAATTGCATGCCTGTTTTCCCTAAGCTAGAAGTTTTGTTTAGCATGTAGAAGGCATTTCAAATTCGTGCAGTACTGCCTACTAATAAAGGCATTTAGGCAATGCCCTTAAGAATGTGCTCTAAGTTTTGGTCACCCCTGAAGTGGTCAGGCAGTTGGACTAGATCATCACTGCCCAACTGAAATATTCTATTCAATTCCATAGAATATAATTTTAAACCAATAGAATATAAACAGTCTATTCAATCACAACTGACCTATTCTATCCTATTCTACCCCACCCCTACTGTACTCTATTCTATTCCAACTTAAAACACATCTTTTTACTTTTTTTTACAATTTTTTGAAAGATTCTGGTTTAGGATGTCTTGCAGCACTTCTGCAGCTCCTGAAGAGTCCATTTGTTGCTTGTGCCACTAAGCATTTTATGCTTTCTGTCACGTCAAATTGTCATTGAGAACAGTGTATCAACTTCAGCATTTGGTATAAAAAATGTTAACAAGAAAATAAACCAAAAGAACACCTCCAAGCTGTTCTCCACCAATGAGTATCAGAAAGCAAGAATCTGCTTTAACAGGAGCAAAAGTCGGTTGGCTGGCAGCGGTTTTCTGTTTTAGATCACAGAAAGAAACTGTTGGGTTATTAGTAATGCAGAAGGATTAGTGTAAGAGTGCAATGAAAAATAAATGTAAGGTCTTGCATGGAAATGAGAGGATACTGTGCACTGAACTGTATGAAAAATAACAAACTATTAATAAGAACACAGGAGAAATTCATACTTCTCTATACAACATCTTGGTTACATGAAAAGAATAAAAGAACTTATGTGTGCTTGCTAATTTTTGTTCATGCTTAGATACAGACTAACGTAAAATCAAAAGTCCTGCTTTTTCTACGGAAGCTTTTTGCATAATTTGAGACAGAATTAATTTCCTAAAGATTTTTTTGCTTGTTTTTTTTGTCATGGTTTAAGCTCAGACGGTAACTCAGAACCATGTAGCCGCTTGCCCACTTCCCCCTGCTTCGTTGTCCCCTGGCAAGAGGGATAGAGAGGAGAACCAAAAGAATGTAACTCCCACAGGTTGAGATAAGAACAGTCCAGTAACTAAGGTATAACAGAAACCCACTACTGCTACCACCAATGATAATAATGATAAGGGAAATAACAGGGAAAGAGAATGCAACCGCTCACCACAGATACCCGGCCCGACCTGAGGAGCGATCTAGCCCTTCCGGGTAACTGCCCCCAGTTTATATACTGGGCATGACGTGCTATGGTATGGAATACCCCTTTGACTAGTTTGGGTCAGGTGTCCTGCCTCAGCTTCCTCCTGGCTTCCCCTCCTCCATGGCAGAGCATGAGACTCAGAAAGTCCTTGGTCAGAGTAAACATTACTGAGCAGCAACTAAAAACATCGGTGTCATCAGTGTTGTGCCCAGGCTGAAAGTCAAAAACACAGCACTGCACCAGCTACTAAGAAGGAGAAAAATGACTGCTACTGCTGAGCCCAGGACATTTTTTCTCCAGAATATTTGTACATACATTAACTTATTAATTATTAGAAGATAACAATGGGATGAGTATACCATAGATTTCATTACAGTTTGGGATGAAAGGACAATACCCAAGTTGACTAAACACCAAACATCTTTAGTCGCTTCAGACACTCATTTTACTGTTTATTGTCACTCATAACCTGACAAGATCCTTAAATACCTTAAATCCTTAAATACCAACGAGGAAGACTTACCTGAACAGACCTCTTTGTAGGTAGGATTCGGAGTATACCCTCCTGCATAACCCACTTGAGTGGAGTAGACTCCCTTCTGTCTCCAAAACTTCCTCTCGGCTCCCCAGAAACAGCCCATACCTGAATATAGCATAAAGTACATACCATTATGTCAAAATATGATCAACACTAACATATCACACAGGACAAATCCTACAAAGGTTCAAAGGGCCAAAGAAGAATTCTCATGCACATAAAAATGAAGTTACTTAAAAGGCAAGTGCGTTGTTTGCACAGCATCATTTTTACTTTAGTTGATTAACAAGCTGTCAAAACACAATAATTTGTATTAATGGCAAACAGTTATTTAATTCTTTTCTTTCAGGCATATGCAGTCTTTAAAGGTGGCAATAATAATGTATTCAATTATATGCTATACAGAATGAGAAATGCTTTAGTTTAACAGTTTATGCATGCAGATATTTGATGTTCAGGCAAAATTCTGGTAGTCATTCACACACGTGGCCAATTATCAAAGGACATCAGAACATCAACAGGTGTAAATTAGCAAAACTCTTCTACTAATAGGAATCAAGCACATTGCCTGAAAGCTGGGGGAAGGAATAAGCAAACAACATTCACAGTTCTCTGATGGCTTTAACAGTTTAGAGATACTAGCTACAGTTTGGAGGACCCTCTAAAGTTGAAACATGTCAGGCACACCTGTACTGTTTAGCTTATCTCTGGGTGATGTCTTTTCTCTTTCAATGACAAGATAGTTACTTTTAGTATTCCCATACTAAAATATTTGGGGAAAAAAAAGGTCATAAAAATAAACTAAAAATATAAAATACACTTAGAAATCAACGATCCACGATGGGCTCTCTGTTGGCAGCACTGCAGATATGAGGGGTTAAAAAATTAGAAATGTGCCTTCAAATACAGCTAGAACAAAGCAGACCCTTCTATCAATTATGATGATTCACAAAGGTATATTTTTTCTTCTCTTTCAGGGATTAATTTCAAATTAAATTTGTAATGCCCCAAAAATTACAGAAGTAATGACCCAGATTTTTCCTTCCAATTCAGGTGGCTCAAGCAAGTTGCATAAAGTAGGAGACTAGCCTGTTCCTGGAGGCCAGGGGAAGAGGCAGGCAAGTCCTGAGGACAATTCAGCACACAGATACAAATTGCTGATCAAATTACAGTCATTCTCCCTTTAGAATCTCCCTATCACAGAGATAGCTATGGCTATTAGATTTAGGTTCCTCAGCTAAATTAGGCTAGTGGCAAATTGCTGTAGGACCTCTCCTGGAATTCCCTCCTCATTTTGAAGAAACAATAACCAAGGATTCTTATTTGAGATATTATTCAGGCACTCACCCACTTACCTAAAATGATTTAAACTAGATTGTATTTCTATACCTGATGTTGCTATTTTATCTCAATTAAGTCTGAAAAGCTCTCAATAATTATGCCCCTAGGTCTAATCAACTGATACAGGGTGAGAGTTTTTATCCATCATTCTGCCTATGCTGCACAGCACAAGTGGCAGCTGTGGTCCTTTCCTTGTCAAATCAAAAGCATAACTAGAGCACATCAGTAACCCCTGACACTCAGGTTTCATCCCCACACAACGCAGAGCACGTATAGGGGACATTGCATGCCCATGTTTCATCCCAACAGTCAGGTCATGGATAAGAGGGAGGCTAGAACAGTGAGGTGGGAAGTGCTCTTTGATCCATTGTGAAGGCAGCCTTTGAACATGTACTTTAGACACAGTGTTTAAGTGTTTAACCAAATAATTAGTTATAAGTATTTTTTTATCCATGTTTCAGGACACACAGTTACGTGTAAAACTGCATGTGAACACAGGTACGTCTTCACGTTACTTGTAAAAATACCATGTGTATCCTGCCAAAACTCCTGTCACAGTACATTTGAGTGATGTAAAGCACGTTGCCAGTATTCATTACAATACTTTAACATGGAGGATGTGTGAATTCTTGACCTTTTTACACTGAACAGGCATATAGTAACAAAGTTCAGAAGCAAACACAAGCATACACAGTTTGGGGTAAGAAGGCAATTATCTGTTAAAATAAAACCCTTGAGCTTCATCATTTCTGTCTTCAGTTCTTTACTCCTCATCTCCAGCCTTACAGATATAGCTAAAACTTGACTATGTCTTCATGCTGCCTTACCCATGAGGACATTTTGAAGGCATTACAGAATCTGACTGTGATGAAGAATCTATTAAAAAAGTGCATCTGATTTTGCTAATGTCACAGAAAATATAATTTTAAAAAATGATTACTAGGATCATCATTTAATTATGTGAAATGCCTATTGTATATCGAGTCTATCACAGGTTCCCCAAAAAGGCACTTCCATTCCATTGCAAGATAGTGAAAAGTTAGGAACATGGTTTTTCTATGGCTATCCAGTCTGTTCTAACAGATCTTGTTCTTTCTGATAATCAGAATTTCTTCAACAGAAGAAAATTTTGTATTTAGAAATGCAATCTCAAAAGAAGGAGTCAGGATTCACTTAATACTGATCTATCTTAAATTTAGATATTTAAATACACACGTTGCCCAGTTCTTCTTCTTGGCATTTCCAGAATTCATCAGGTTTTTCTCTGCTTCACCTGACACTGTTCATCCAAACTTGTTACCCAGAAAAAAACCAGTCATCTTTTGGATTTAAGCGGAGAGAAGAAGAGGGCATCAGACTATGTTAAACTGCTTCCAAGGGTGCTTTTAATTTAGTTTGTGGAATGTTAGTTAGATCCTAAGCCCGTATCTGGATCTGTAAGCCAAGTGCAGAAAATAAACTGCATAAGGATGTTTCCTTAATATTAAAGTGCATCCTTAATATTAGTTGGGAAGTTTGAGCTCCAGCTGCCTATAATCCCACCTATGTCTGCATCAGGTGATGCTGAGACCTTGCAGGAAAGGACACTGTAGCAAATTTATCAAACTAACATTGTCTGGACAAGCACGCTGAGGGGTGGTGAATGAGCTATTTAATTTACACCAAGGAATATTATAGACCCAAATTTTTCCCACATGTTCCTGTGCCTACACCTGAGTTCAAATGAGTAACCCACAATCACGGTTTAGTTCAGATATAGGCCCAGCTTCAAATACAAAATAGAAATGCTCACTCATTTCCTATTTATTTCAAAAATTTTAATGTCCAATAAATCCCTAACTGCACTGCCTCAAATTACTGATCATCAGGGTAGTGGTCACTGACTCTCCTTGATCAATAACTGTTAATTAGGATTCTCTTACTGATAGCCCTCTCTGGCTTGTTGATTTCATCTAGTGACCTACATCCTCATCATAGTTTCTGTCACTTTTTCTTCTTTCAGTTTATGTCTGAATTCATTGTGCTCTCTTTCCTCTAAGAGACAGACATTTTATCCTCTTGGTGAACTATTCTCATCATTTCGTAAGTATGCTGGCACCTTTACGAAGAATAAATCCTCACATCCACGAGAACAGACAAAATTGAAATCTTTGTCATAATGAAACAACCTGCTAGTAAAGGGATGTAATTTACAACAATACAATACTAAATTGCTTTCCACAGTATTAATACATTCAGCAGCTGATGTTTGTTATTCTGCTAAAGTGGTGCCACGTTCTACAGATAAATTGTCATAAGGAGAGAAATATTAACAATAAAACCCCACATAATATTCTAGAGTTAAGACACTTCAGCTCATGGAATATTTGTTCTGCAGAGCACTGGATGCCTCAAGACATGTTTAACATGAACAATGATTACTAAAATAGGAAAATAATCTCAGTTCAAGACTTTGCATAGTCTTGTAGTACAAAAAGGTTTCCTTTCCCTAATTATTACTACTCTAGTAAGAAAACCGAAGAAATAAATAATTAAAGTAATTCAATCAAATAATTAAGTGAAACTCAAAGGAAAAAAGAAACTAGTAAAAAACACCAGGAAAAGAAACATAAAAGCAAAATAAGCCACCTATATTATAATTTGAAACTAGAAAACATGAATGTGATTTTAAACTATTCATGGAATGATTTGCATAATCCCCAGTACTGGTGAAGTGAGTGCAGCTTTAGAGTTAGATAGAGAGCTTCCAAAGGCATTCCTAAGAGAAAGAAAAAAAAAGGAAATTCTGGGGGACATACTCATGTTCCCAGGAAAAGTATTATTTGAACATAATGGGTATTGCAGAAGAGTGTTCAAGCATTGAAGATATTTGCCACTTTTTAATTGCTAATTTGTAAAATAAAACCTATTCTTTTAGTAATGGATTTTGACTGATTCTTAATTGGAATTTCAAAAGGTATTTAAAGATTTTTTGCTTTTGAACTTCAAAACCAAACAGATTCAAATGGCAATCTTTAAATGCTCATTCATCCCTACGAATAATACTAATCATACACTCCGGGAATACATGCTACTACTCCTATTCCTTCCTAGCATCCACATCCATTTTCTCACACTATTTTCTTTCTATATACATACATATATATATCGCCTAAACAACTTTCTGTACACAGCTTTACACTCAGCCAAGGAACATTTGTTTCCATAGGCAACCCAGATCATTTGTATATTAGTAAAAAATAGTTAGCACAAGCTGAATTATTTTTCTAAAATAATGAAAGCAAAATGTTACCCTGATAAGAGACAAATGCATCCCACTGTTATAGATAATCTGTAATAATTCTGAAATATTCACAAATAAACCAAGCAGAACTGAACCCCAGGTGTTTACCTTCTAGTGAGATTAATAGCTTTAAAGATTATGTTAACCATATTGACTAGGTCTCCATTGACTGAAACAGGAGCTCATTCATTCAGGGATTAATTTATCTGCCTAAATAGAGACATCCAGAGTCAATTTGAGATGCCTCAGAATATCCAAGACATCTATCTACACAAGGTGTCGACATAAACGACAGAGGACTTCAGAGAGACAACATGCCTTCTTGAAAGACATCCTGAGGCCAGGTAAAATGCTCCTGGACATCTCCAATGCACGTTTGCATATTTTAAGTTAAGAGAATCAAGTCCATAACCCGCACACAGACATTACACAAACCTGAAAGTCTCTGAATCTGCAGTTAAATCAAACCTCCCAAAATGCT